CCCCGCCCATCCCACCGCCCCTTCCCCCGCCGCCGCCGCCGCCGCCATCTTCGTCGTCTCGCTGCTTCTCATGCAGGCGCTGCAGGATCGACAGCATGTGGCGCTGCTCGTCGGGGCCCGCGCGCGTGCTGCGCAGCTGCTGCTCTGCCTGGGACCTGCGCGGCAGCAATTCGAGGCGGCGTGCAGGTTTGTGGCAGCACCCGTGGTGATCGCCGTCGCCGCCGACTCGCCAAGTAAGTTTGCCAGACGGAAGGGTTGTGTGCTGGCGCCGTGGCGTTCGAGCATCCCGAATAGATGTTTGAGTCCTTTGATTATATTGAGGCGCACCTGTAGAAGGACTCTGTGCAGTGCTGGCTGTGCCGCTGGTAGCAGTCGACGCTGCAGTACGGCGCATTGCAGCGCGGGCATGTGTAGGGGGCGCTGGAGCGCACACATCTGCGGGCGCAGGGGGCGCGCGGATATGAAATAATCACATAAGATTCAAACCCATCATGGGGATGCAGGAGGCAAAGAGCGCGGCTTACACTCTACAGATCGGCGCAGATCGCGGCGTGGCCATCTTGTCGCGATCCACGAGGCTTTCGGGCTGTTCCTGTTATCAAATATGAGGCTGCTCTTTGATCTAATCTGTCACCGCAAATGGTGCAGGCTCACCATTTGTGTCTGGAGCTGCAGCACCGTCGCCGTCATGGTGTCACCAGGTGCCGCCTCGCGCTGCTGCTGCTCTTGCTGCACCCTATCGGCGGTGGCGAATCGCAGCTTATTTGTAACGGGCGGAATGCTGATCGACGGGTGGGCAGATTTGAATCTCATGGTTCTGGGGGCGACAGCCAAGTCCACCAGTCGTCCACTCTTGGCTGGAGAGGCTGCGGGGTCCCAACCCTGAACTTCTACCACCCCATCTACCCAGTATTGTAGCTACGAGCCAGGGACATGCTTACAACTGCAGAGAAAGGCAGCAGTGCCCCTATGATACAAGCCACCACAACACAACCGCAGCACACCAAAGCGTCAGCAAGTCTGTGCCAACTCAATACGCTGCAGCAGCACACGCCCACCGCGGTCCCGCCACGCGCAACCCTGCGACTCCAAGCGCGTGCACTCGGCTGTCTGCCTCAGTCCCGCGCCGCGCACGCCCCGCGCCGCGGCCCCCGCTGTGATGCCCACCGGCACATTCAGCAGCAGCCCGCACGGGCAACCACGCATCCAAGCGCGCTGGCGCCGGCGCCGGCGCCGCCGCCGCCCCGCTACCGCCGCTAGCAAGCGGTCGACAGCCGTGCCCCTCCCGCCGGCGGCCTCACAGCTTGATAATTGGCAGTTGCAGCGGCGCCGACGGCGCCTGCGCCCCGTATTCCAGGCCGCCGCCCGCCGGGTTGCCGCCCGCGTCGCGCTTGCGGTTGAGCGGGGACTTGCTGAATTGGATGCGCATAGCCCCCCTGTCATTAGTCTCCAGCACCTGGGCCAGGCAGGGGATGGGGGCGGGGGCCACATACCGGGGAGACGTTAAGACGAACGGCGGATTGTGCCACGCCTAGCAAGCAACCACACGCCCTCAACTAGGAAGTCATCAACACGAAACGCGCATGCGATGCGGGAGGAGGGCCCCGCTCCCTGATACGAGGGGCGGCGGGCTGTTAGCGGCGGTTGCACCGGCCCCAAGCGAGCGTGCGCTGCGGGCGGGCCGCGAGCAGGCTGCAGGCTGCGGGCCGCCCCACCTGGCCCTGCAGCTGCGTGTGGGTGAGGACAGCGTTCTCCACCGAATCAAACTCGACAAAGCAGGTGACGCCCCGCTGGTTGAGGGAGAACCGCAGCTGGACGTAGCCCTGCGGGCCGGGGCCGAGAACGTGGGTGGTGGCGGCGGCCAGTTGCAGCCACGCGCAGGCGTCTTGCGGAAAGGGACGGTGCCCCTGTACATGCCGACGTTGGCATTACAACGACGAAGGGCCGCCAACAGGGCACCAGCTTGTTTGCAGGTGGACGAGGACGCAGGATGCGCGCGCTCGGGCGGCAAAGAGATGCCGCGCCGGACACCAGTCGCCGGTGCGGCCCCTGTCAGGTGTGGCGTCCTGCTCCGCGCATCCATTGCCACGTCCCGGTGCTGTGCCCGGCTCTCAACTGCCTGCAGCAGCCCGGGCCCCAAGATCACAGATAACCCCCTTCTCACCGGCTGCACTGAGAACACGCGCCGCAGCTCCGCCTCTGTCACGCCCGGCCCCAGGTTGCCGATGAAAAGGGTGCTGCACGGCGGGTTGTCGTGCATGCTGCGCGGCGGGCCGCGCTCGCCGCCGCGG